GTCCCATTGGCACCAGTCACCTAAAAAATAAATAACATAGCCACGTGAAGTCAGAGGATGGAGGAACCCATGAGGAGCATTAGGGGACCACGCAAACTGACACTCCCAGAAGTGTTGGTTTCCCTTCGGACTTTAGGGGGCCAGTGGTCTGGGCAGGGTTATGCATTGTGGGCATCAGAAGGGTAAGTATGTATATTCCACTTTGCAGGTATGTGTTTGGACTAGAACATTTTAGAATGTGATGGCGTCTTTTGAAGGACTTCTCACCATTCTGGTCTACATACTTGTTCTAGACCTGTGAAGCATAGTTCTGGAGCCAGAGGATCATCATGGTGACCAAGGATGTCAGCAATGACAGCCTCATATTCCACTTAGGATTAGTTTATTGTAGATGTTAATTTTCAGATGTTATAAAACCTCAACTCTGTATAGTGGCCTTATAAAAAAGTATGAGCTCAGTGTAAGACCACATGTACACAGACCATCAGTTGGCTGCATTCTCAGTGATGTCACCGGTTTCTAGTGAATGGATAGGCTGCATTCTCAGTGATGTCACCGGTCTCTAGTGAGCGGATAGGCTGCATTCTCAGTGATGTCACCGGTTTCTAGTGAATGGATAGGCTGCATTCTCAATGATGTCACCGGTTTCTAGTGAATGGATAGGCTGCATTCTCAATGATGTCACCGGTCACTAGTGAATGGATAGGCTGCATTCTCAATGATGTCACCGGTTTCTAGTGAACGGATAGGCTGCATTCTCAGTGATGTCACCGGTCTCTAGTGAATGGATAGGCTGCATTCTCAGTGATGTCACCGGTCTCTAGTGAATGGATAGGCTGCATTCTCAGTGATGTCACCGGTCTCTAGTGAATGGATAGGCTGCATTCTCAGTGATGTCACCGGTCTCTAGTGAATGGATAGGCTGCATTCTCAGTGATGTCACCAGTCTCTAGTGAATGGATAGGCTGCATTCTCAGTGGTGTCACACATCTCTAGTAATAGATAGGCTGCATTCTCTGTCATGTCACACGTCTCTAGTGAATGGATAGGCTGCATTCTCAATGATGTCACCGGGCTGTAGTGAATGGATAGGCTGCATTCTCAGTGATGTCACCGGTCTCTAGTGAATGGATAGGCTCCATTCTCAGTGATGTCACCGGTCTCTAGTGAATGGGTAGGCCGCATTCTCAGTGATGTCACCGGTCTCTAGTGAAGGGATAGGCTGCATTCTCAGTGATGTCACCGGTCTCTAGTGAATGGGTAGGCCGCATTCTCAGTGATGTCACCGGTCTCTAGTGAAGGGATAGGCTGCATTCCCAGTGATGTCACCGGTCTCTAGTGAAGGTATAGGCAGGATTATTAGTTATCTTGTCAGTTAATAGGGATATTTTGCATTACCTTGTATCTTTATAAAAGTCTGTTCCCAGTAATAGCTTTCTGGTCATATTCCGTTCCTTTGTGTTTTACTGCACAATTGACATAACAGTAAGGCCACAAGTTTACCCAAAGCAAAAACATTTATTTTTATTACGCCTTTAGAAAACAGACTTCGGGAGTTGCTAGGTCAGAGCTATTTTACTATGGCATTGTGTATGAATATACGGTACATTACCCTCTTGCACTCTCCTCCTAATACAAGTGGAGAAATGATTTGCCAGTCACGTCATAAGCGGCTTCGCTGTCACTCCACATTATACAGCGCTCCCATATATATGTTATGAAAGGGAAATTTGGAGCCATTATGACAATATTTTTTTTATGACTCCATATAGACATAATGCGCTACACATAGGCTGAGCGAATTTCTGGAACTGATCAAATGGGAAATTTCAAGAGCGACTTCAGCTTATAAAATTAACCAGTTGTGATATTTTGGGGAATTTAGCACAAATGGTGAGCGCTTAAGGACCAGTCTCGAAGCCGTTGTAACATAAAACAAAACAGTCTTTTATTGCTTCCATAACAGAAACAGAGCTTCTTCAACAATAACACAAGATCCGCTTGTATTCCATCAAACAGAACACATAGGGTTTTATTCCCAAAGCTACCGAAGGATCTAGCCGTAGCTTCGGCTGATCCTTCGGGTAGCTTCGGCCCCAGGACCCCTTCGGTTCAGGGCTGCTGTACGGGCTATTCACTATAGCCCGTACAGCCCCCAAAGTTGGCCGAGGGGCTCAGTCGAGCCGAAGGCATATATGCTTCGCCTCGACTGAACTCAGGGGAAACTCGAAGCTGGCCAAACTGCCGGCCGTTGGGCGGCCGACAGCCTGCTTCAGACAGCTGGGCGCAGCCAGCTGTCATCTCACGGCTGGCTCCGGCCACTTGCAGAGAGATCAGCGTCCCTGGTTATCGGGTAACCAGGGACGCCGTTCTAACATTACACTGACAACCCGTCGGAGCCGCTGTAAAATCACAGCAGCTCCGCCGGGTTCTGTGTGGAATTACAGAAGGCGTCCCTGTTTACCTGGTAACCAGGGACGCCTTCTGTCATTGCACTGCGGCTCCTTAGTATACTGAGAACCCGGCGGAGCCGCTGTAAAATCACATCGGCCCCGCCGGGTTCTCAGTGTAATGACAGATGGGCGTCCCTGGTTACCTGGTAACCAGGGATGCCCATCTGTCATTACAACGAGAGCTTAGGAGAGCCGGCAGTGATATGAAAGCCGACTCTGCTAAGTTCTCATCCTCATGACACCCAGCAGATGCTGTTCTGTCATTAGGATGAGAGCTTAGCAGAGCCGGCTTTCATATCACCGCCGGTTCCGACAAGCTCTAATTCTAATGACAGCTGGTCCCGGCCAATAGAAAACAGTTGGGCGGAGCTAGCTGTCACTGCTCGGCGGCATTCGGCTATCCACTCACTGCTGTTCGGCATCTATGAGAATAGGCCGAACAGCAGCGAGTAGCCTGCCGGAGGTTCGGCTCAGCCGATCCAGATGTTGGATCGCTGAGTCGAACTCCTTCTGCACTTCGGGTCGGCCGAACATGCTGAGCATGTTTGGCCGACCCGAAGCCACCCGATGTACAGCTGATTTCAGCCGATATACGGCTGACATCAGCCGTACATGCCTGAAGTGAATAGCCGGCTCAGTTCACTTCGGGTCGGTTGTTCACTCGGCTGCCTACGGCAGCTTTGTGAATAGACCCCCTAGTCTCATCGACTCCAGGTTGTCACACACACTCCATGCTTCCCAGTCCCTGGACGTTAGCCAGCAGCCTTTCCACAAGTGCTGTGCACAGGTGTGCAATCATTAGGTGCTGGCCACAGAGATCTCATCCCTCCTAATTCTCTTTGAAATCTCCCGGTTCCAGGATCCCATGCCAAATCCACAAAACCTGGAGAGAACGGCGAAGTCAGCTCTTTCCCAGTACAAGAACTTGATTGGCGGAACCGCTCAGCCCCACTGGCTGAGAGTCCTGGGTGACCACAACCCCCAGTTCTACCGTGGGATTGCAACACAATACCACACAGTGAACTGCATCCCGCAAACATGACTTTCTGGAAGTGGTTGGGTGGGAAATTTAAAGCTGAGCTCCGGGCACAACAACTTTCATTTACATGTATTCCTTAATAGCCACAAAGGATGTAAATCTGCTTTCTGTGCGCTGAACGTCTTTGCAAACCCAAATGTTATCTTGTGGAAGAGAGCACAACTGTGGGTTGGTCCCCCTACTACGGGCTGCCTGCAAAATACTATAAGGGGCAGATACAAGACCAGTCACCCTGCTCAAGGAGAGAAAACAGCAGTGACCGGTCCATGGCAAGTGCAGGTGTTTTATGCTGAATTACTGCACGCATCTAGAACTACGCAAAGGACACCAGCCAGACAATCTTCAGCTTCTGACACTTCCCGTTGTATTTGATGCATGCTGTGGTTCCTGACCGTGGTCTGTACCCCACTACAGCTGTGCGGGGACACAGTAGTGACGTGGTGCCCCGCATTTGGTGCAGTGGCGGAGTGGATTTATATCACTTTGGCTATTACAGGAGCTATTAAAGTTTTTGTGCCCGGAGTTCAGCTTAAAATTTCCCATTCAACCATTTCCAGAAATGTGCGCAGCCTATATGTAGCACATTATGTCTATACGGAGTGATAGAAAGTGTTGTCATAATGGCTCCTAATCTCCCTTTCAAAACAAATAGAAGGTAGAGATGTATAATGTGGAGTGGCAGCGAAGCCGCTTATGACGTGACTGGCAATTCAATTCTGCCCAAGGGCAGACAACACGCGATGTCTGCTATTTACTTTATTAGCTAAAGTTTTTTTTCCTTGGCTACCTCCAGTTCACTTTGTTACTAGGGCCTGAGTGTCCTTGACCCGATGGCTAAGTTCTGCCAACTGCCATTCCACCATCCAATGACAGTGTCCCTGTTGGCCCTTCAGGCATTTTATTCTGTACTATCAAACCTTAAAGTGACACTAAACTCAGGAGTTAAACCTTAAAAATGCATTCAAGTACTTTAACTATTAACAACAAATACAGCCTCAAATCATCCCTGAATTGATGCCGACACTGTCCTTCCTTCTGGAGGGGGGCTACTTTTGTTCCCCGTGGTCCCTGTGTGTGTTGTAAAGTAGTCACCGCTCCAAGCTTGCTCCCATGATGGACTACAATCTCACGTTTAGCACACAGTGTTTAGGCAGGCTCTTATGGCATTATGACACACACCATGGGGGGGCTTTTTTTATAGAATACCCCACTTTACTTCTGCTATATTATTTTTTGCCCAAAACTAAACTTGACTCCAAACTAAAGTCAAATTTAGGTACTTGCACTAAAAATACGCTTATCTACATTAATTTTCTATATCTTCTTAGAGTTCAGCTTTAATGAATCCTTAAAAGTGTATGTTTTCCCCCACCCACTGTCAGCCTGATTTAAAATGTCAGCAGCTTCAGCACAAACCAATAAGTATGTAATAAAAAAATTAGTTTGAAGGAGAATAAGCAGGTCAGACCTTTCCTTCCAGTAATTAGCCTTTTGTCTCCTATACAGGTAGGTGTGGATATTCCAGAGGCTCCCCTTCCTGACAACTTCCCCGAAGTAAATGTAAGCGGATGTTATGAGATATAAAGCTGCTCTGATGAAGGATCCCTGTGCGGATCTGAAACGTTAGCATCGTATGACAGCATGTGACATCTGGTATTGAATAAACATACCAATATTTCAAAGATTTTTTGAGTGTATGCCGGTGAGACATCTTTACCTCCTTCTGGAGGGGGGCTACTTTTGTTCCCCATGTTCCCTGTGTGTGTTGTAAAGTAGTCACTGCTCCAAGCTCGCTCCCGGGATGGACTACAATCTCAGGTTTGGTTTACTCATTTGTATTCAGACTGTAGTCCATCATGGGAGGGACCTTGGAGTGGTGACTACTTTATAACACACAGGGACCCTTACCCTTATAGCTGCTCTGTGTCTCTACTCCTGCAGCCTGCTGGGATATACACTGAGTGGCTGAATTGTTATGACCACCCCATCAGTACTTTGTTGGGCCATCAACATGATCGGAGGAACTTGATCAGCAACGATACTTTGGTATGTTGTGCTACTCAGACGTTGTTCCACGTGAATTAAAGGGCCCAAATCATGCCAGGAAAACATGCCCCAAACCATAACACGGCCCCCACCAGCTTGAAGGGTTGTACTCATGCATGTGGGGTGCATGCTTTCATGCTGTTCCCGCCAAATTCTCACTCTGCCATCTGAATGATGCAACTGGAAACGTGATTCATCGGACCACATTACTTTTTTCCAATGCTCGACTGTCCAATCCTTGTGTTCCTGTGCGAATTGGAGGCGTTTTATCTTGTTAACTGCAGACAGCAAAGGTGTTGGAACAGGCCTGCGTCTTCCATATCCCATACGATGCAGTGTACGGCGATCAGTGCGTTCAGAGATCATTTGAGAAGATCCCCGATTAAGATCTGCAGTCATTTGATGCACTGTTACCCTTCTGTTGTCTTGTACCAGTCTTGCCGCTCTCTGTTCTGCCCTAACATTGACTAGTCGCTGACGGCCACAGTTCGCACGTTCAGACCCAGATTTTCGGCTGACAGTCCGGTCTTTAAACACTTTAACAACAGCTGCTCTTGAACATTTAACAAATTCTGCTGTTTTACTGATACTCGCTCCATGGCTCCGAGCGCCAACAATCATCAGGCTGTTAAATCGCATTGTTGCTTCAGGAACAAATCACTTCTACTGTCGTGGTAAACAACCTGCTTCCCTACTTATAATGGTCTGGCCCTCTAGCAACTTCAGCGCCAAATTATAGCTAATTTGCCTACAAACGTCAGGTGGTCATAATAATCTGGCCACTCAGTGTATGTCGGGAATATCCTAGGAGCCTGTGGGAGCAGGGCACATCATTTTTGCGAGAATGGCGGCAGGGGGAGAGGCTGCAATAAAAATAATAATCATCAAAGGTGGGGAGGGTAGCAGTGGGTTCAATTAAAAGGTGAAGGTCTGCTTTAAACTCCAAACTTTCTGCATATGTATGTCTACAGAAAACATCATGCAGACTAGAGTTCCCCTTTAATAAAGGCATCAGAACTATTCATCCATAGAGATTTGATTTCACATCGATCGACGACATAAAGGAAGATCATTTACAGACTATAACGCGGAGGATTGTGATAGAAAATTATGTGAAAACGAGTTCTTCAATGAAATTAGAAGCGATGAGCAAACTGTCAGGTAGGGAATCGCATATGAGGGCCATGGTATAATCAGATCATAGTGGAGGATGTAATTGTATTCCTCCTCGTTCTCCAAGCTCTGTGTGACCCTGAAACTGATATGGAAGAAGAATGAAAAGCTTCTAGTAATGAGTGTAATCTGTTTAGGGCAGAGGAGTCCAGAAGCATTTGTACGCACAGTCCTACCTGCAATAATCTGGTTATGGGACTGTGAATGTCGGCGTCAGACCGGAAAACAAGTCAATAGAAATAGCAGGACCAGCTCAGTTTTATGAGCGGCAAATTCAGCTTCTCCGTCGTATTGATACTCTTCATTACTGACTAACCAGCTTCCGTGACCTGCAGACAATGCCACCTCCCCTTTATCTCCCCCATCAAATAGATTGTCAGCCTGTTCGGGCAAAGCCCCTTCTCCACCTGTCCCTTGGCTTTGAGCTTCTTCAGTCTGAACTTTGTAATTTGCATCCCTTTAATATTTAATGTTTCTGCTTTATACATGAAGGATCATTATTTCAGATTCAGTGGAACATTTTGAAGATATCCCTCAAGCTGCAACGACATTTATGACAAGTGCACTTAAAGAGACACCTTTGCCTGACCATTCAGGGCCAAGTGCCCCCCCTTTCCACCAGCAAGGTATACTTCCCCATGCACCTCCACACTGAAAGCATCCACCTTGGGTAAGCTCCAGTATCAGATGCTTTGGCACTTACCTGGGTTGATGACATCATTGCCCCACCCTCATGTGGTTTGTTTTTTTGGCCACATGATTCTTACTTATTAATATTTTTATGATTTTATTATCAAGTGATTCACCTTTAACAATGTTCGGTTACGTAGAAAGATGTCACCACCCCAAGCCTGTGCGAAAATTCCCCCCTCCAGAACTGCAGGCGCTGACCAAAGAGTGTCTAACTGTGCTGTATGAACTCCATCGGAACGTAGGAAGTCACACATCGATAAAGTTACATCACATCCAACTTTATTGGCTCCCACAACGCATTGGCTGTGTTGTATGTATACTTAAATCAAATCACATATATGTCAATGAAGGTTCTTATCTATTCAGGCCATGGTAAAGATAAAGTCCATGGCTTTCTTCTCCACCTCCTCCATGTACAGGTTAGCTACAGTGGGTGATACTGGTGATCTTATAGCAAAGTCATGTTTTTGTCTGTAGAAGTTAACCTTGCACTTGAAATAGGTGGTGTCCATCAAGGGTCAACTGGAAAAAAAAAACCATCGTCAAACTGCAACAACCATCCCTGAACAGGGCTTGGGGTCTTCAACTCCATCTGTCTTCCACACACTATCTCCACCCCCGCGATTAGACAACAATTTACATTTTCAGCCATGTAAATTAAAAGATTAACAGCTATGCAGACTCACTACCACCAAAGGATGGCATTATGTAACTAGAACAGGGGGATTCCCCAACCTTCACACCTCCCATCATCTTGGACAATCGATATCTGCCTTGACACATTTCATGGTGATTGGATTAAGGTGTCTGTGCTACCTGTGTGGGTATAAATGCCGGGGATGTTCCTGACACTCATTTGAAATAACGAAGTGGCTTGCAGAAGCTACAAAACAGCTTCAGCAGTACAGAACAAGTCCAGTTGAATGTTACTATTACTAGCTAAACCACATATACACCAATCAGGCATAACATTATGACCACTGACAGGTGAAGGGAATATATTTGATTATCACTTACAATGGCACCTGGAAGCGGGGGGACATATTACAATGTCACCTAGAAGTGGGGGGGATATATTACAATGGCACCTAGAAGTGGGGGGGATATATTAGGCAGCTAGTGAACATTTTGCCGCTGAAGTTGATGTGTTGGAAGCAGACAAAATTGGCAAATGTAAGGATTTGAGCGACCTTGACAAGGGCCAAATTGTAATGTGTAGATGACTGGGTCAGAGCAACTCCAAAACTGCAGCTCTTGTGAGATGTTCCCGGTCTGCAGTGTACAGGACCTACCAAAAGTGGTCCAAGGAAGGAAGGCCGGTCATGGGCCAAGGCTCAATGATGCTTGTAGGGAGCAAAGGAGGCCCCACCTCGTAACTTACAGGACTTAAAGGATCTGCTACTGACGGCTTGGTGCCAGATACCACAGCATACCTTCAGAGGTCCAGTGGAGTCCATGCCTCAATGGGTCAGGGCTGTTTGTTGGCAAAAGGGGGACTTACTCAATTGTAGGTGGGTAATCATAATCCTACGGCTGACCGGTGTATGTATTCCATTCTTTTTGAGCAGCTTTCCCCTTTAAACGTTACGTTCTTTCAGAATGGTGTGATTTGTTTTTTTGCACTCTATAAATCGCTCTGGAATAAGGCAAGCCTAGATGGAGGCATTAAATAAATGAGGTGGCTGTGTACTTTGCAGGACGGTAGAGGGACTAAGACGTAACTACATTTGTAACGGTGACAGTAAAATTTGTAAGCCAGTGATTAATGATGCCGTAGTAACAAGGGAATTCATTGCTGCTAACATTTCCTCGGTAAATGATTGAAAAGCAAATGAGTTGAGCTGTGCAATAAAAATGTGATTTTCAAGTAAGGAGCGTCAATATTTATGCTGCGTCCAATCCTCCTGACTATAGCGGTCCCTTGTGACCTCGTGTCTACACCACTCCGAATATACTGAGACAGCAAGACCGTGATTGCTTGCGTGGAGTAATTCAAGAGTAAGAGCCAAATCTGAGTACAGTAACCCGTTCCTGGCTTGACAGTATTTTGTTTTCAGGGTTTTCAAAGCTTTCACCATTTTTTTTTTAACAGGTTGGTACTAAGTTCTCAGATGTGGTGTAGCAATCTAGAAGGTAGTATTTGAGTGGGTCCAACTCCCAGCACTTTTAGGGCCATATCATATTAACGATGCTGATGCTGCCAGCGTCTCGCCAGTAATGAGATCACTGAAGGCTGCATCCGCCTGCTGCTAAAGCATTGCTCCCTATCTGGCCAGAATGCTGTAGAATCTTGCTCGCCAGCAGGAAGTAACGATGGACTGATGCTGATTTGGCAAACAAGGTACCAGCACCGGGAACAGGATCACTAATGTGATATGGCCCTTATTGTGACCATAGCTCTTAGAAACAACCTGATCACACCCGGTATGCAGCAGAAAGGCTCTTTGTTAAGCATGTAGTTTAAACAGTTTAAAAAAGAGTAGCCAGCACAGCTCTTACATGATATTACTCCCACTCCTCTTCTCTGCAGTACATGTCTGTGTGAGAACACTTGTGTTGAGGTGTGTGTCTGCTACTCAGCTCTGTCAGCATAGACCAACCCCTTCCCCTTTACTGCAATGCAAGTCTGTATGAGGACACTTGTGTTGAGGAGTATGGCTGCTACTCAGCTCTGTCAGCATAGACCACTCCCCCACCCCTTCTCTGCAATACAAGTCTATGTGAGGACACTTGTGTTGAGGGGTGTGTCTGCTACTCAGCTCTGTCAACTTAGACCACTCCCCCTCCCCTTCTCTGCAATACAAGTCTGTGTGAGGACACTTGTGTCAAGGGGTGTGGCTGCTACTCAGCTCTGTCAGCTTAGACCGCTCCCCCTCCTCTTCTCTACAATACAAGTCTGTGTGGGGACACTTGTGTTGAGGGGTGTGGCTGCTACTCAGCTCTGTCAGCTTAGACCACTCCCCCTCCTCTTCTCTACAATACAAGTCTGTGTGGGGACACTTGTGTTGAGGGGTGTGGCTGCTACTCAGCTCTGTCAGCTTAGACCACTCCCCCTCCTCTTCTCTACAATACAAGTCTGTGTGGGGACACTTGTGTTGAGGGGTGTGGCTGCTACTCAGCTCTGTCAGCATAGACCACTGCAGCATGAGCGCAGAATGTAGAAAAAAGGATTTTATGGCTTTACAAATTATAACATGAAGGAGCGCAGAATTATATGGATATAAAATGGTGTGAGACTTCAGTAGGGCTTTAAAGCACCTCTCCACCTGTACGTGTGAGATCTCTCTCTGCCCCCTTTCTGCTGCCCTTGTGAGGTTCTCCATACTATTTGCAGGACTGTTCATTTATTATATATTAGGAAGAATGCAACACCCCAAGGGGAGTGACCTAAATCTCCAAATTCTGCCGGAATAGAACTAGGAACGGTGCAGGGAGCTCCCTAGAAGCCTGAGGGTGACTGAACCCACTGGACTCCAACCTGTAAAAGAAACTTGTGGGCAGGACCTTTTTGTTTAACAATGATATGTCTTTTTAGATGGACAGTACCAGGGTTCTCATTACCGAGTTGAGTCATCCAACGGTCACATTACCACCCCCGATGGTTTATGAAGATCCACTGGAGCGCTCTCTCAAGTACATGGAGAAACACAGCATCCTGCAGATCTTCCAGGTAAAGTGGATTATGTCATAAAACATGGGGCAGTGATGATGTTTCAAATTCTGTAGCCACTACCAAAGAATCAATTTCCTTCTTTCTTCGAGCAGTCGTAGCAGTGTAAGCTGGGTGCTGATTGGTTAATATGGGATGCAGCGTTCTATTTATCGATCTCTGCCCTATGAAATAAGCATGTTTACATGAATGGGTTCCTATGTTAGGGGTAAAAAAAAAGGCAAAAGGTTGCCCTTTACCTTAGGGGGAAGGGGGCAGTATTAGCCAACATGGCTCTGCAGGATCAAATGTGACCAAATCAATGTGGAAATGTGCTAAATTTAATACATATCATCTTGACTTACTAATTACTAATTTTACATTTGGCTGATTATATGCAAGATGTATATTTAAAATTTGCCTAGGCTAGCAGGATTCACGAATTGCAAGGTTTGTACATGCGCACGGATGAAACTCAAATTGATGCTGGATTCAGCTAATTCACCGAATAGTTCATTTATCTTTATGCAGAGCACATAAAAAAATTGATGCTTCGTATAGAAGTGTCGCTGGAGCTGTATTCACCGAAAGACTAAGCGCTAGCGAAGTTTGGGTTGTGGAGAAACACTGCCCCTTAGTGTTCATCCTTTATATTGCATGATTTATTAATATATAACTATTTAACGTGCGAGTGTTGGCAGATATAGGATATCCATTAAATATTTGGATCTGTTTATAAATAAATACCTTAACGTACTATCAAACCCCCGTTGTATAAAATATTTTCCCCTTTATCTCCATGTTACTATTAACAATTGCAAGAAATTGTAGCAGCACCTTACCCCAAAAACGTACATTTGCCTGCTCAAAATTTATACAGGCCATTCTATCCTTGCGGCACTTCCTGAACCCAGATTGGGTAGTGCTCACGGTTGTGTTAGGTGACCTCCTGTTTGTGGTGGAACAGAAGGGTGTGGAGTTAGCAGGGAAAGTAGGGATTGGGGTGTTATTAGAGGTTAGTGGTGGAACAGAAGGGTGTGGAGTTAGCAGAGAAGGTAGGGATCAGGTGTTATTAGAAGTTAGTGGTGGAATGGAAGGGTGTGGAGTTAGCAGAGAAGGTAGGGATCAGGTGTTATTAGAAGTTAGTGGTGGAATGGAAGGGTGTGGAGTTAGCAGAGAAGGTAGGGATGGGGTGTTATTAGAAGTTAGTGGTGGAATGGAAGGGTGTGGAGTCAGCAAAGAAGGTAGGGATGGAGTGTTATCAGAGGTTACTGGTGGAATAGAAGAGTGTGGAGTTAGCAGAGAAGGTAGGGATGGGGTGTTATCAGAGAGGTTAGTGGTGGAACAGAAGGGTGTGGAGTGGGCAGAGAAGGTAGGGATGGGGTGTTATCAGAGGTTAGTGGTGGAACAGAAGGGTGTGGAGTGGGCAGAGAAGGTAGGGATGGGGTGTTATCAGAGGTCAGTGGTGGAACGGAAGGGTGTGGAGTTAGCAGAGAAGGTAGGGATGGGGTGTTATCAGATGGTAGTGGGGAAACACAAGGGGTGGGGGGGGCTTGCAAAGAAGGTAGAAATTGGGTGTTTGCAGGGGTTAGTGGGGAAACAAAAGAGGGGTGTAATTTGCAGGGAAGGTAGGGATTGGTGATAGCAGTGGTTAGTGGGGAACCAGATGAGGGTGGCTCTAGCAGACAAAAAGCGGCTGAGTCTGTAGGGAAGGTAGGGATTGGGTGTTATCAGGGGTCAGTGGGGAAATAGATAGAGGTGGAGTTAGCTGAGATGGTACAGATTGGGGGTTAGCACTGCAGCACATTATGGAACTATCTGTACATTGTGGTACGGTGCATTGGAAAAAAAATACCACAAGTTTATGTACGTGTGCAAGCAATCTGACTGGTGAGTAGAGGGGACCTTATATCTTATGGCCTGGAAATATATATTTGTCAAATAACAACAGAAGCATCTGATCCTGCCAAAAATCTAGTGAGCTGATAACTTCCTGTGTTCTGTGCCTGTGCTGCATTCCTATCAGTTACATTGTTCCCAGCTTTCTTTGTGAACAGAACACATCCTTCAAGTTATGAAGATGAAGGGAAAAGGTGTTCTGTAGTTCTAACACACTTCCTGACTTAGAGTGCCAACACTGCTTCCTTTATAGATACAGTGCAGTGGGCGTTGTCACCCTAGAACAGGAAGTGTGTCACTGGCAGGATCACCAGGTAAGAATAAAAGAGAAAAATCATAAATAAAAAAAGAACGCAGCCACCGAACCTAAGGACTGATAAGCTGCATTATATAACATTTGCACTTGGACTCAGTTTAGGGCATAATAGGAAGAATTTACATTTCAGAAGGTTGAGGGTGCTGAAAGAAAGCAATTAGGAAGTGCAAGGAATGTAATAAAAAATCTCAAGAAACAAATGAAGTTAGCAATGATTGAAGCTGAAAATCCGATTGCTGGGGATCGTAAATGAAATCTTGAAACATTTCCCGAGTATATAAACCCTAAAGAAAAATATATTTAATATCAGAGGCCCTTAAAAAGATGAATCAGGAAATATAATTGTACGCGACAAAGCAACGCCTGAGATCTTAAAGAAGAATCCTCAAATGTATGCACCTCTCGTATCTTGCAGTGTATTGTACGACAAAATGAAAATAAAAATCTTCTTGTTTAAAAAAGAAGAATCCTCATGAGCAATGAACAATTAAAGGAGAACTACGGGGGTCAGTGTTTTTCCCCATGTCTCCTCAGGGTCACGGGAGGACAAAAACTAGCGTCCTCCCGTCACCCAAAGCTCAGTATATTGCCAGCAACAGCTTGCGGTATACTGAGACGCCGCAGCCGGAACCCGACATTACTGTTGAGATCCACCCAGCTGCGTGATTGACAGCTGGCTCTGCCTATCTAGAGGCAGAGCCAGCTGAACCCGCCCCTCCCCCGTCCGTTCCTCCAGGAAGCGCTGGAGGATCGGACAGGGGAGGGGGGAATCCCTGCAGGGAGCCGTGAGTGACAGTCGGCAGGGACAGGATCGAGAAGTGAGTGAGCGACGGTATGTGTTCGCTCATCTCCTGATCTACTGAGCCGACCTGTGACAGTCTCATTGTCACACGTCGGCTCGAACTATGAGGATGAATGATTTTCACTCGCCTCATAGTTCTCCTTTAAATACCGGGCTATAGATTTATGTGGAAATTCTTATGTTTGCCTCTCCAAAAAAA